TTTTTTTTTTTTTTTTTTTTTTTTTTTTTTTTTTTTCATTTTTGATGATTAGTGTATAAGAATCTTGAATGACGTTTTTCTATGAGATTATTGACTAATGATGAATTCATTACATGATACGCCAATGATAAAATATTCGTCCTTTTTGTGCATAATTTTTAAGTATCATCTATAACTGTTGTACATTCACCATAATCGCAGACTCGAAATGAAATTTGAACCTGGTACAGCTCCTTTTTTGTAATGTTAAAAAAACTGCAATATTTTTTACCAGAGGATGGGACGAGGGATATTCGTAAAAAAAAAAGAAAAATTATCGAGCCTTAGATCCGAAATTCAATAATCTTCTAATTATTCAATTTTTTTTCTCCGTAGGTTATTGTAACAATTATCATAATCGGTGAAATGTTCTTTATTTCTTCTTTTTGAATATGATTTTTTTTTAAAGTAAGATATTGATACTTTAATTAGGTATACCTAGCAATTGATTGTAAAAGTTACCAACGAATTTTTATCATGTGGAAATTAATTTTGCACGTCGATTCACTTCTTCAAGCGGTTATACTTCATTGTAGTGAAGTAATTACGTATATGAGTGAACATATTTTGTCTGTGATACATTTTTTGCGAAAAAAAAATCGAAAATTAGAAGGGATTAATGATTGGGCTTATTGAAAACGTGCTACCTGTGAAAATGACGTTTAAAAATCTTTTCAAGGTTAGAGCCCACATTTTTAAATCGAATAATCAATGGGCATTCGTAGATCTTATTTAAAATTATATTTAGAGACATATTTTGATCTGAATATTTACTATTTCGCGTAGTCACAGAGTATTAGAAGAAGAAAAAAAAACTTTTATTCTCGAAGAATTGAATCGAAACGCTATCAAATTTTATTTTATTTTTTTGAAAAAAAAAAAAATAGTGATTGAGAAAATCGTTTCATACGATGATTCTATTTTATGTTAAAAAGAAAATGTTTCAATTCATGTGAATAACAAGAACAGGAACAACTTAGGTAGCAAAGAAATCCTCTATTTTGAACCGACGTAATGAAGTAAGAACAGTCACTCCTTTCGAATCGATTATGCAAAAAATAAATTTAACGAGTTAGCGCAATTTAAACAAGAATTACTATTATTATATATTTGATTTGTTAATGTAATTTCCTACCTACTGCTGTATTAATTGATTAAATTAAATGAAGAATTTTGTTATATTGTAAAACATCAGTAATGAAATAAAAAAGAATGGAAGTCGTTTTGTGAAGAAATATTTTGTGATGTATCACTTACATATATGTCTGATGCGTTGCCAAAATAAAATATCTCTTTGCGATCTTTCTTTTGCAAACAAATGGAATTGTTTATTTAAAATAATTATTCTTTTCCATTTTTTCTCTTTTTTGCAAAATTAGAAATATTTATAATAATAATAATAATAATAATAATAATAATAATAATAATATGTAATAATTATGATCTAAATCGATATATTTTATGTATTCATTTTACATGAATATATTGTATTCTGAAAGAGTTTCGTAATAAGCTAAGATTTTATGCCATTATGTCTTATCTTTATCTTAATGAAGTTGTTTTAATTATATCGTTATCTCAATTAATCAATGTCAATCAACGAAAAACAAAAGCATTAAACTACAGACGAGATATAGAATAGACTTAACATTCGATATATACTTTTGTCCCATGCCTCGTAGAAACATTAGGATTTTCTTAAATTCATTTTAGTATTATTTTCAACGTTATTGATTCGATTCAAATTAAAATTGCAATTAAAATTAAATTTCAATAATTTTATAAATAAATCATTTTTCGATAAATTGTTTCAAAATTTTGTCGTACTTCATTTATTATTGGGCTAGACTTTTATTTGTTTAAATTCGTTGTTATCGAGGATTATATAGGATATATGTTTTACGAGGTTGACATTGTAGAGATACATTGTAAAACTAAAAATGTAATATCTATATTTTTTATATTAAAGATTAAGGCACATTGTAGTTTTGAAAGAGAAATGATGAATGTGTGTTCAATTAACATCCCATGAAAACTTTTGTTTGTGGTAGAGATAGGGGAAAAATTAGGCAATTATATTCAGAATATTATAAAAGAAACTAATATAGACAAGGAGAACAAATAAAGAAAAGGATAGAGATAGGATAAAAATTAGAAAATCAGCGCCATCTCTGGAGTGCTGCAAATGAAACTAATATAACAAAGAGAGAAAATAATAAGAAAAGAATAGAAATAGAATAAGAAATGACTGCTGGCGTCATCTCTTGAAAGTTATATAAATTTAAAATTCTTTAGTACTCAAGAGATGGCGCTAAAAATGAATTCTTACTTTATCTATCTTTTTCTTCTTATTTATTCTCCTTGTCTATGCTTTTTTTGTCTAAGGCACATTAGAGATGGCGCTGATATCATAATTTTTGATATATTTTCTTTTCTCTATATTTTCTCTATATGTTTTCTTTATTTATTTTATTGCATTTATATAAATTATAATAACAAAGGAATCAAAAAAGTTTAAAATATTTTTAATAAAAAAACAAGATAACAATTCGTATATTTTTATTATATATCATTTATTAAGATATGTATAAAAATAAAACATAATAGTGAAATAAAATGAATGAGTATCGTTGTTACGCATCGTTAAAGTATTTTTCAAAAATCTTTTTTTACATAGAATTAAAATCGTTTATTTAATATTGCTTCATTAAATTTAATTTTTTTTTTATATAATGATATATTTCAAATAAGATAAAAATAAAGTGTATAATAATAAATCTTAGCGATATATTTTTCGTTACATTTTGTTCATTTTACATAAACATATCATTGTATCCTGGAGGAGGTAAATGATCATTATCTGGATCACGTCGTGGTCTTGGTGGATCAAGATCTGGTGGACCAAAAGGATCGAATCTTGCAAACGGCGGAACCGCGCCACTGTAATAAGATAATTTTTTATTAAATTTTAATATTTTTTATATGCAAATTAAAATAAAATATTATCATTATTTTATTATAACTTACGATGGTAATCTGCCAGGAACTCCTAAAGCTGGTCTATATGGATCTATACGATTACGTTGCGGTGAAAATGGATCAAAAATCATACCACCGCCGCGTCCTAATGGATTTAAATCTGCGGCTCCTACATTTGTAGGATCAGCTGCAGGACGCCTTTAAAATTTTAAATAAAAATTTTAATTAAATATTTTTTAAGAAATATATAAAGATATTATTTGCTATATAAGAAAATATTATATTGAAAAAAGAAAATGTAATTATTTTAGGCATGTCATGGAGATAATAAAAATATTTATACCAATTACGTTTGCGGGATCAATAGTAGTGAAATATAAGATTTAATTCTGACTTTTTCGAAAAAAGAGATTATTTTTTCATGCTTGAAATTAAATGGTTAAGATTCATAATTCAAAAATTGATACAAAGTCATCCAGATTTATATCATCATTATGAAAATTCTGTAAAGATGTTTCACATATTATTTTTAAATTTAATACAATTAAAATCGCATCGATTCTCCTTTTTTTGTCTCCCTGTCAGGCCTTTTATTTAATTATAATTAAAACAGAGATTTTTAATTAAACTTTTTATGATAAGATATCAATTTTTTTATGAATCGATGCGAGTATTACCATTGTGATGATGCAAATGAAGATTGTGGCAATACCCTTAATGGATCACCCCTTAATGAATCATCTTCAGGTGTATTATATATTGTTTGAGTAGAATTTTCTGTTGTATTACTAGGAATCAATGTATCTATAATATCTGTTTGAATTATATTTATAATATTTTGATATGAAGGTATTACAACTTCCAATGTTCCATGGAGATCATTTATAGTTTGATTAATTGGAAACTGAATGCTAGATACTTTTTGATCATGAATTTTCTGTAAAATAGAATATTCATAAATATTATTTTGTCACTCTTCATCTAAAATATTATTATTTAAATTACCAATAAATTTACAAGTAGATCTTCATCAGATTTTATACCATGGAATATGAATAATTTTCCATTATTTATGTAACGTAATGTATAACTTGGTTGCATGTTCCATCCTTCTGGAAGTAATTGTGATCCTTTTTCTGATGGTTCAAATACTTTCTAGAACCAAAAATTATTATAAGAAAATCAATATATATTTATATATATTATTATTTTTATGTTATAATTTTTGTGAATTTAAATCATGACAATATGTAATTACAATAAAATTATTATTTAATTAATTAAATTATTTATCACAATTGACATATAATTAATATAGGTTATGTATTATAAAATTTTAGTAATTTCTTATAATTTAATTTCTTATTTATATAAATAGATTATGCTGAAAAATTATTATAAAAAATTCTATAACTGCGCAATAGTTTGTAAAAACAAGAGTTCTTTAATAACTTACAGAATCGCCGATTCCAATGCATCTAAATCCCTGTTTTATAAGATACCAATGAATGAACAGAATTAATAAGTCTTCCTTTTTTGTAATTTGTTTATTGTATATTTCTTGGAAAAGTTCAAAACCAAATATATTATTTGTATCAACCATTTTAACACTTAGTGACAAACAAGTTTTGAAGTTTCTCGATTTGTATTTACGCCATTGGTGTTTCAATGCAATTGACGATTTGCTTTCCGGATAGTAAAATATTTTTTTGGTAATTTACATATTATATATTATAATTGCTAAAAAT